AGACTCGCTTGAGCCCAGGAGTTGGAGGTTGCTGTGAGCGTGATGCCACGGCACTCTACCCAGGGGGACAGCTTGAGGCTCCGTCTCAAAAATAAAAAAAAAAAAAGAGTTTGAGACCAGCCCAAATAAGCGTGAGACCCTGTCTCTACTAAAAATAGAAAAAGTAGCCAGGTGTTATAGCAGGGGCCTATAGTCTTAGCTACTTAGAAGGCTAAGGCAGGAGGATCACTGGACCCCACGAGTTTGAGGCTGCTATAAACTCATACACCAAAGCACTCTACCAGGGCAACAGAGACCATAACAAAAACAGTATTTTGTTTTAAAGATTACTGACACTAAAAATTTATTTTTTATGTAATATAAACTACAATTATACCTTGTTTATCCCTCAAATTCTCTTAGATTTATGTTCCTGTTAGTGGGGCCATCAGCAAAGATAAAAATCAAAAGGAATCAGAAACACCACCTTCCTCCCACCACACACGTTAACGTGAGGCCTACAGCCGTCATCAGCCAGGGGACACAGACCTGTGCGATCTCCTCCGTTTTCCTTAATTTTTCCTCCCAGGTCACAGTCATTTCCTGAATTAGCTTTTCAGATTCTTCCAGCCGGTCTTTTAGCTCTGGAGATTTCATTGCCTACAAGCAAAATATTTGCTTCATGAAATGTCTGGATGATGCTCTGGAAAGAGCATGAGCTAACTCTACAAGGACCCAGGTAACCATCTGCCTCCTCTCAGCTCCGAGACACACCGAGGTCTCAGGTCCGCCCAGCGTAATGCGGGCCCATCGCCGATCCCAGCACCTGGGCTGTTGTGAGGACCAGACTCATCAAGTCACCCGAGGTCTGTTTGAAGAGAAGACTTTCGAACTTTTCCTTCTTCCTCAAATCTATTATGAAGATCTAACCATTAATACGTTACAGGATTTGCAAACAGAAAGCCACTAAGTGGTTCTTAAATTCCAAAAGTTACAGATCTAGACAGACTCCTACATACGACTCATTCTAGTCTCTGCTGACGACTGCAGGACTTGACTCACATATGTGGACTAAACGTACAGATGCTGCAACTGGATGGGGTCATTGACACCAGGGAGACAGAAACAAAACTCAAAGAACCTTGCTGAACCACAGTTTATGACTGTAAAAACAGGAAAAAATTCAATGGGCACAATATAATCAAGGTAACTGCCTTGACCCTGTATTTTACCAACTTACTGCCAGAAAACTGGCACAAGAAAGCCAGCCAGCCCCAGGAAAAGCCCCGTGAGTGCTAGTGACCATGGGATAGAGACCCTGAGCATGACAGTTCATCCCCCTCTACAAGAGGATGAGCTCTGGGCTGGGGGCTACAACTGTGTAGGTTTTCAAATCCTGTAACAGCACAAATACCATGTGTTACAAAATCTACAAAGGACAGCTTAGTACCAATAAATACACAGGTACTCCGGTTATGAAATGTCTTTTTCGGCTTGGCGACTGTGGCTCAAGCAGCTAAGGCGCCAGCCACATACACCTAAGGTGGTGGGTTCGAATCCAGCCTGGGCCCACCAAACAACAATGGCTGCAACCAAAAAATAGCCGGGTGTTGTGGCCGGCGTCTGTGGTCCTAGCTACTTGGGAGGCTGAGGCAGGAGACTCGCTTGAGCCCAGGAGTTGGAGGTTGCTGTGAGCAGTAAAACCACA